GGGGGGCCGGGTGAGGGCCCGGGGGGGCTTGAGCAGCCCCATAGCCTCCCCCCTCCACCGCGGCTCTGCTGCACGAAGCGCCGGGCGTGGGCTCGGTATTTTTAGGCTGCGCCGGGTGATTCAGGCTGATTCATGTCAGCGGGTCCAGAGGCGACAGCGGCCGCGGGGGGGGAGGCCCAGCCTTGGGGAGCTCCTCCTGGCAAGCTCCAGGGGGATCGGAGCCAGAAAGGGGCTTCGTGGCCCCATTCCCTGAGGTAGGGCTGCCCTGCTTGCTCACCTCTCCCTTGGGGGGGGCGCCCAGCCCCTCAGCTCACCCAAATATTCCCAGCTCAACCCCCTTGATGGGTGTCTTGGGGTCCCTACCCCAACCCATGACATTGGGACTGAACTGCAGGGGTGCATTCGGGGTGCAGGGATTTGGGTGAAGCCTTTGGGGATTGGGGAAGGTGTTGGTGCATGGCTGGGCTGCAGGTGTGGGACCCCGGGACGGCTCGCCCCAAGGGGTGGGGATGCTCCCGCACCAGCAGTCAGCCCCTGCCCCTCTCCCAGCAGACACGGTAGACCTCACCTGGTGCGTCATCTCCGACATGGAAGTCATCGAGCTCAACAAGCGGACTTCGGGGCAGTCCTTCGAGGTCATCCTGAAGCCCCCGTCATTTGACGGCATCCCTGAGTTCAATGCCTCCCTGCCCCGGCGACGTGACCCGTCCCTGGAGGAGATCCAGAAGAAGCTGGAGGCGGCGGAGGAGAGGAGGAAGGTTGGTCCAGCAGTTCGTGCACGGCGCTGCAGCATGGGGACGCGCCATGGGGACCTTGCACTTGGGGTGCTCAGCAAGGCACACCCACCTTTGGGGGCTTAGTTTGGAAGGGGGGGGTTTAGCTGGGAGGGTGAGGAACCCACGGTCCCCATGGCCATCGTGTCCGCTTTGCCCCCGCAGTACCAGGAGGCTGAGCTGCTGAAGCATCTGGCCGAGAAGCGGGAGCACGAGCGGGAGGTCATCCAGAAGGCCATCGAGGAGAACAACAACTTCATCAAAATGGCCAAAGAGAAGCTGGCACAGAAGATGGAGTCCAACAAGGAGAACCGGGAGGCCCATTTAGCGGCCATGCTGGAGCGCTTGCAGGAGAAGGTGAGAACCTGGCAAGGAGGGAGGGGGGGATGCGCTGGGACAGCGGTCCAAGAGGATGTGATGGGACACCCGGGTACCCTGCATGGCTCTTGGGGTGGCATCACCCCTGGGGACACCACCAAAGGCGGGGACCCTCTTCCCCTCCCACCGTGCAGCAATACCCAAATGCAGCGTCCCACCTGGGTTGGGGGGGGGTTGCAACCTGGGGACCCACCAAGCCTGACCTGTCCGTAGGCTCACAAGTGGTTGGTGGGTGGAGAGCTGGGACCCACACCTCATCCGCAGGCACACAAAGCCTCTGCTTTCCCCATGTCCCACCATGATGGCCTTGACCCACTGCTGGCAATTGTTCCATCTGCCCGGCTGGCAAATCTTCCCCTGGTCCCTTCCCCAGAGGCCGTGGAGCCGTCAGCTCCCCTGTGGAGCTGGAGGGGCCCGTGCTGCCGTGCTAGGAGATGCTTCCACCCTGCCAGCCTGTGCAGACCTCTTCTCTCTCCCCGAAGCAGGTCTGTTCCCAACCTCAGCACGGAAGGTCCCACCCTCACCACCTCCAGCTCCCTCCAAAACATCCCTTCTGCAAGGAGCTCGCCCAGTGCCCTTCTCCAAACGCCTCAGCTAGCCTTGGGTCAGAGGCAGAGAGCACGAGATAATGAAGGACAATCCGAGCTAACCCCATCTCCTTGGGGCTCCCGGTCCATCCCGTCTGGTTGACGTCTACCTCCTAGCTAGAGGGCGAGGACAATCTGTCCCTGAGTGCCTCCACAGTCCTTAAAACACCCCAGGGGAGGAGAGGACGCTGTTGACCCATCGGTGGTGTCCCTCTGGGGATGAACCTCGCGAACGCCCTCGTGCCTTCGAACCCCTCCGAAGCCGCTGGCCCGCCCGTGGGGACCCTGAAGTCCGTCCAGCTAACGCGTGTCCCCCCCCTCCTCCTTCCCTCCTA